CATATATTACACTTATAAAGGATTATTGAGTGGACAAACTGATGGTAGACAAAATGGGAATTTTGCCGTAGATGAAATGGGAGTATCGTTTCGTGGTTATCTACTCATTTTATTATTGAAACGTTCCAAGTGCCTGTGGTTCGATTAATTAATGTTTCTACAAAGCCCACTATTTCCTCTCATATCATTCAGGTCCGACCATATTCTTCGTCGGACCCACAGGCACTTAATTTGAGCGTCTCATTAAAAAATAATGCTCAATAAAGACAAAATGTATTGCAGGGCTCCCCAAAGAATCACGCGTTTGGCGTGAGACTCACGCAATTCAGCACAATCGCACGCTCTCACGCACATTTCTGATAGTCCCAAAAATCTCACGCAATTTGCAAGAATCCAGTTTTTCTTCGTTGCGTGAGTAGGGTCTAGCGAACTTTGCCGAAAAGCGGCGGAGGACACCGAGGGACGGGAATCTTGACATTTATTAGCTTGTGCGCCACCCAGCGACTGATTTTGCTAATCTGCGACGTCACGCGTTGCTAATAAATAGCCTTTCGCAGTGTTGGTCGGGGCGAAGCCGGCTGGAATCTCGGAAAATCTAGGTGATCAAATTTTCCTCCCTCCACCCCCCCCTTCGCGCTTCGGTCTTAGATTATCTGATTCAAATAAATCTCGCCTCATTTTAAAGGCTTACACCTTGAGAGCCGTGGTATTGACTACCAAAGAACTTGATGTTCTCTATGTAGTCTACTCTCTTGCGCCTATCAGTGCCGATAGCTTTCTGTAGGCCTAAATGCCGTTCAAATGCTCCTCTGCTACACACAGGTACACCGCATACACACTGCTGCACATTTACACTTATACATAGTACTATATACACACATATATATTAGAGGTGCACCGGACCTTGGATCCTCTGTGCGGGAGCTAGCCCGACCAGGCTGTGCGACAGATTGTCTATAATATTCTAACCCTAGCAATACCGTTTCTTGGAGCTATGCGGGTGCCTGCGCTATCCTACAGACCCCTATGACTGAGCGAGTGTGTTGTTGCAGAGGTAAGAGGAGCATTTGAACAGGATTTACAGGAATAATAGGCGAAAGAGAGTAGAGCAACATAACTGCCACTTTGGTAGTAAATACATTTCGTGCTTATTAGCATTGACCCTTGTGACTGGGCATCGACTTAGCCCGACCAGGCTGTGCGACGGATTGTCTATACATCGCCTGACACCTTCGCATACAAAAAACCTATCACCTCTGCAGATCTAGATGAATAACTCTGTATATCTCAAATAAACTATTCTATTACCGACCTTGACTTGCCTTGTTTGAAATATGAACGTTAACATCACAGTTGTCCTGTCTTCTAAACTAGAATGTATATCTTAATTCATGGTATAATCTGCTAATTCTCAAGGCATATCAATAACTTTTCCAAATCAGCTTTAACGCCATGTTTAGCAAGGCACGGAAACCCGAAACGGAATAGACTCGCTAGAAAATACTACAGAAATAGTACGAGTGGCTCTCAGGGCAATTACACACCAAAGCAAGTGAAAACGATGTTCAGAAATGTCTGAGCCATTTGTAAAAAACTTTTAGATGACATATGTTCTCAATGTTAGGGGTGGTGTTACATGACCGACCGCAATTCGTTTTAATTTCCTTTGTTCGATCCTTTGCGGATTTTAGTCACAGTCGGAAATGATAGCAAACATGGTGGCAAATTCATAAATTTGGTTGCATTCGTCTCAAAAAATTGCTGTAACCCCGTAAGTACCCAGCGCATCGTAGCGCACTGATGGTTACAAGAAGGTGGACGTTTACTGATTCATTTGGTATATCACATGTGTGGTGTTCTTTGGCGATACTTGGAATATAAGGCAACTACGTGTTTATAGCTGCAGCCTGTGTTCGAAACGGTATTCTAACCCTAGGCTAGTAATACCGTTTCTTGGAGCTAGGCGTCGACTGAACATTGACTAACGAGTATCGTCTCACATCTTGACCCAAGGATAGAGAACATGGGTCCCAATAAAACCAATGTGCCTAACCCTAACCCTAACCATAACCCTAACGGCTAACCTATTATATTGATATAATATTATATTTATATTTATGTAAATGACATTGGTTTTATTGGGACCAATGTTCCTATCCTTGAACCCATATCTTTTACTATAATAACACTTAATAGCGGAATACAAATCTAATGGTTCCCAATCAAACATATCGACTAGAAATACTTGCAATATTTACCTTCATATTTTGCCTTACAGTCCTTTGAGTATTTTACTCGATAAGATTTAAGATACTTTGACTTTTCAAAAATGAAGATGGCGATGGCGATTATTTTACCCGCCATCTATCGACCAGTTTTCAGAACTAAAAACGTGTTTTCTCAATAAAAATAAAATGTTTACATATATAATATTTTATTATATATGTATGTATCCGGTTATGAAAAATATATTTAACTGTGTAGCGGCGTTGCTTATATATTGTCAGCTGTTGTTTCCATAGAAATATATAGAAACACATATTACAAGAGCGACATAAGGCACATAAACGAGTTAAACCTCCGCCACATCGTAGCAGTCCCCAATCTTGTTTGTGTTAGTGTTGCTCTCACAACTTATTGGATCGGGACTTTATGGATCGGGACTTTTTGGAGACTTTATGGATCGGGTTACTGTCAGTAGGTAAATTGTCGAGCACGAATCTGAACACAAATATATTGAACACGAATCTGTTGCTTATAGGTTAGAGATATTTATTTTAAAATAAACAACGTGGAAAATTACAATTATTCACGCCTTTTTAACTCTTGCAATACGATTCTGCGTCACTCTAGCAGAATAAAAAACGCATACAATGTGTACGTTTACGAACGGAATATATTAATTTAGGAAAATATTAATTTTAATCTAGTGAAACACAAATACTAACCAAATACAAAACGAAACAAACGTTTTGTTAAATTTTATTCATGTCATTCATGTCATCAAGGGTAGATAATAGAGTCTCTATTATCTACTATTGATGTCATGTTATTCATGTCACAAGGGAAATGGATATGGACCATGCACTGATCTCTACTATATTAACGCAAAAAATATAATTGGAATAGGCCTACAGCCTAAAATATAATAATTTTTGCACGGCACCTCACTTTTAGTACACTACGACGTAATTTAGACAAAGACTTAATTATTATGTTATTGCTATACGTGTGTTTCTTAATGCGTGTACGTGTGCGTGTGTATGCGTGCGTGTTCGTGTGTGCTATGGACTTATAATGCGCGTCCTATGACAATGTAAATGTAAAGTACAGGGGCCCGATATAAAGGCCGGCGCACACCAGCCGATTTTTCACGCGATTCGATCGGCCCGATAAAAATCAGCCAATATCGGGTAGGTGTGCGCGTTCATTTGTAGACGATTTTACTTACGATTATTTTTATCGGGTGATCGTTCTAAATCAAACATGTTTGATTTTGAACCGATTATTTTGAAGCGATTTCTTGAACAGCCAATAGCTGAACGTGCCCGTGTCACATGACATTCAAAATGGCGCCTACCATCAACAAAATAACAAATTTTATCGTAGGTGTGTGGGTGTTTATCGGAAGGCGTTGCGCTGAGCCGATTTTACAAACGATGAAGAGATTTTTTAATCGGACCGATTTTTGGGTAGGTGTGCGCCGACCCACGCACACGCCCACGCCCACGCACACATACACACGCCCACGAACGCATACACACGCACACGCACACGCACGCATGCACACGCACGCATGCACACGCACATGCACGCATACACACGCACACGCACACGCACACGCTCATGCACACGCACACGCACATGCACGTAGGTACACGCATATGCACATGCACGCATGCACACGCACACACTCGAATGCATACACGCACGCACGCACGCATACACACGCACACGCACGCATGCACACGCACATTCACGCATACACACGCACACGCACACGCACACGCTCATGCACACGCACACGCACATGCACGTATGTACACGCATATGCACATGCACGCATGCACACGCACACAATCGAATGCTTACACGCACGCACGCACGCATGCACACGCACACACGCACACGCATTCACACGCACATGCACGCATGCACACGCACGCACATATATAGTATATGCTATGACTCTAGTCATGCATGTATCCCTTCGGCTTGTCATTGCAGTTATATCTGATCCAGAACACACAAACTGAAACTGAACACAAGCTCAAACGTACTAGACGTAGTTCATGTGCTCTTGATCTGAACACGGATTACTAACTAATTTGAATGTAATCTATGACAATGAGAAGCAATATTGAAACGTATACAGAATGCTCAATTAAGCCCAATCCTACATTAAATTAGAACAACAAAGATAATATGTAATAGTAGTAATAATAATAATAATAATAATTGTTATCGTAATTATTAACGTTATCTATGTATAAAATATATATAAAATCATCTACTGTAATTATATATATAGGGTTTATTTATATACGTATAAGTTAATGTGTTCAACGCAGTTATATTCTGACACGTGACCACTATTAAACCACTACCGGTTCATTAGCCTGTTAGGTTAGAGGATGTGACGCGTCATCGGCCGACCAATCGGAGTGCCCGCAGCTCGTGCACTAAAGCTGATGCGACGTTTTGTGGCTGCATTATTTAGGCTGGCTATCGTGTGTGTCAATGATATGCACATGGAGATGGGTGGATGGTTACTGGTAATATAAAACAAATTCTTTCAATGTATGGCCCCCATTCGACTGCGCGACTGTTTTTCAGGCCCAAATGTGGTGTCGATTAGTAAATTCGCGATAAAGTACATAGCTACCTATAGCTTTAATATTGCCACTCGGCCGAAAACGGCCGAAATACTATTTTTCAGCTACTGAAATTCAATTCTTAAGTATAGGATCCTATGGAAAATTTAATAGTGGTCTGTTCTCTTCTTGCACATATGAATCAGCGCACACATCTCCCGGTAGATGCCGCAGCTTACACCTACAGGTTACTATGACGACGCCATGCATCAACATGCCTCAGTCGGCGCCGGATGACCAAGGATCGCCGATGCCGTGGCGACGACCCGGTCGCCTTCCATGAAAGTCATGTGGTCTCCCGCTACCCTGTGCACTGTCACCACTCCGTCGCACACCTATAAACCAGCGGCAGACACTCAATGAAACGTTTGCTGAACTCAGACAGATAACTTAGAGAGGGGGACAGGAAGAGAAAGGGAGAGAGAGAAAGGGAGAGAGAGCGAGAGGGGGGGGGAAGAGGGAGAGACAGCAAAAGTGAGAAGTGATGGGTGAATCAAAAAAGAATTCAAAGAGATGTTGAACAGAGTAGCAGACGCGAGTTAAACTAGTTGACAGCACAACATTTGTAGGTGACTCACTTTGTGTAAACCATAATCTTCTCCACGTCCCTCGCTCCACTCGTGTCCATGCTCCGTCCGGATCAGTGTGATGTTGCCATGGTAATGGTCATCCACCTGGTAACGGTCAGCGATGATCAGCTTCTTGTAGTACGACCACGCAGCTTCCTCCAGGCCGCTCCACTCGTGGAAGAGACCGGTCTGTAGGAGCACCTCGGTAGCGTAAGCTACCCGCGATTCCTGCGAGTCTGCCGCCAGCAGTTCACCGTGCACCTACAGCGGGAGAGAGAATAAGGCACTAGCGATGGCAGGGGGCAGTCTAACCGCGGTGCCTGCAGCTGTGAAGCGGAGGCCCGGACCGTCTCTACGAGACGCGGACGCGCTATGCTAACCCACATACGATTCAATCAGCTTCCCACTCAATGCACTGAAGTAGAGAAAGTAGAACTACTGGATGCCAAGGATCTCATTGCACGTCGACAACTGGAAAGTTTAGTATATAATATAATATAATAACTGATTGCTTGTTTCTTGCCTATTACTTACTGCTACTTAATTGGTTAATACTTATTGCTTGATACTTATTGTCTACTGGTTCTTGAATAATACCATGAATAGGCCTACTATCATAAAAATTTATAATACTTGTTTAAAAAATATCCCCTTACGGTTTAAAATTTCCCCTTATGAGTAACTATATATATATACATATATATCAGAAGTAGATAATACTGCTATCTACTTCTTATATATATATATATATATATATATATATATATATATATATATA